CTAGATCGGTAAAAATTCAAAGAAGAAAAGAAGGCTCTGATACCATTTGTAGGATCGAACAGCAAGAACTAAACCAACCAAATGGGGGGGGTTGAATGGTTGAATTACCCATAAATCAAATGTTTTAGTGGAATTACAAGTCACCCTCTTTTTGATGAAGATCGGTCTGACCGCAGGTCTTGCGCTTGCCTGATCGTGCCTATGCCGCATGTATGGTTGCACTTATCGCCGCTGTCGCCTGAAACTATCGCCAGTCTAACCGCCTTGCTCCCGCCAGTCTGACTGGTGCACGGTATGCCACCGGTGTAACCGCTAAACCCAAGCAAACAGAAATTAAAGATATCTCAAAGTAGATTGAAACTTTATTATTTCTATTCGTGTTTACAGAGTGCAACAACAGAGCTCCTCTTGAAAATCTCAGCTAAACTCAAAACCCTAACTTTTCTCTAAACTCAATTCTCTCAGAATCGATACCAGGAGGCATCACCCTTCCTCTCTATTTATACCCGAGGTAGGCAACCTAAAGCGATGAGCCCAACTTGTACAAGAAGTCCTTATCCCTTAGGAAACCTTCCCGTACAAGAAACAAACTTTACAAACTCCAATCACACCAAATTTAGACTCCTTCCAAACTCGAGTCTTCATCCCATACGCACACAATATCTCCATCATATGCCATATGGAATCTTCACCAATCACGTGCATTGATCTTTAGTCTAAGTATCACGTATGATATCCTGATCATCCGGACGTAATATTCTGCAAGTTGACTCCTGATCCATCACCGACAACACTCTCCTGAGGCATCAAGACTCACCTACACATGAATCAACCAAGGGAAGATATGATAAAAGAGTACTATGCTAACAATTCATATATTACTTATATACATCAAAGTCTATGCAGGGGTTAACTCAGTTCAAAGGGTACGGTGACACATAGAAGAAAGAACTAAGATACTCTCACTAAAATATAGTTTAAGCTAAGTGAAGAAAGAATAAGAAAAGTATATATCATTCTTGTACTTCTAGTATACATACATCTTTAGTCTATACTTGCTAGTATACAATCATGCAACCAATACCCCGTACCTAGTGTCCTCCTGGTGTTTCGAGAGACCACCCCTAGTTATCGAGTTTCTTATGACAACCTGTCATGGCCATCCAACTAGGCTAAATACGGAGGAGTACCCTCCTTAGAAAATTGTACTTAGGATAATATACACATGCAGAGGAACACTCGTACTAAGCTGTCACCATCAGCTGTCACCATCAACCGTCATTGGGGAGTCATCTCAGTCGTCCATCAAAACCACTGTATATTACCCCAATTAATGGTATCTAATAATCTAAGCACCGCGCTTACATTACTAAATACTACTCTACATCCTTGCAACCGACATAGAGCAACCGAATACTCGGACACTAAACCCACACCAATACACCTATCTAGAAAGCTAGTTACATGACTATATTGATTCAAGTATAAAGTAAAGTCGGTACTCAAATAATATGAATGGAATAAAATACCGAAGATGTATAAAGAAGAATATTCTATTAATTCGATAAGTCTTACAAAAGAAAAGAGGAAAGCTACTAGAGCCATACCCGAAATCTCCTGAAGACTCGAAGACTATAAAGACTATTCTATTTCCTACTCCACTAGTACTAGAACTACTAAACTAAACTTAAGAGTTGTTCATCTTCTTCTTGAGGTGTGTATAGAAATGGAGGGAGTGAAGGGTTTATATAGCTTGAGAATGATGGTTGCGATGGTTGGAAAGGTCGGTAATACCCTCCAACCATCATTGGGAAGTCATCTCAATCGTCCATCAAAACCATGGATCAAATGGCGCCACGGCAGGTTAGGCCGAACCCATGGTTCGGCCGAACCATGGGCTGGGCCAACCTGTCCCATTTTCAGCAGATGGCTTCCTCGTTTGCTCCTCTCCGTAGACTTGTGAATTTTAGGCTTGTTGGATCTTCTGAATTTGGTGTTCTTAGCCCATTTGTCTTTAAGTCTGATTCTCGACAGCGTCGGCTTGATTGATCGCATGTTTTGCTGTCAATTCTCCTCCATTCATGCGTGCTTCTCCTGCATACATGTTAGTAGCATAGCACAAAGTAGAAGTAGATATTTTATTTGGGAATTATGCATTACAGGCATAACTAGTCTTCATATATTGGGTAATATTGATGGTCGAAACTGGTCGATAACGACCATCAACAGAGAGGCTTTGGATGATTGCCTTACACCTTTTAACAAAGTTTTGTGCAACCTTAGGTTTCTTGACACTTTTTTAATGGGCTTGATATGCCGATTTAGGAGATGAAAGTTACATCTATTCAGGAATCTGTTGATATGTCCACTTTGACTTTAGATTCACTTTACACTAAACTAAAAACTGATGAGATGAATATTCTTTCTCGTAAAGTTGATTCTAAATCTAGTGCTTTAGTTTCTCCTTCGACTTATTATGTTGATGGCTCTTCTACATCGACCTTTACTGCTTTATTTGCTATTAATGCCAATGTCCGATGATCAACTCGAGCAATTCGAGGAGGCCTTGGTTTTGGTTTCTAAAAAGTTGTCTAGAGCTATAAACAATGTCAAGTTCAAAAAAAGAGGAGGCCGAGTTTGATGTTTTGAATGTGGAGGGCTAGATCAGATCCGTTTACACCGCCCCAAGCTTGAGAGAGCCAATAAAGAAAACAATGGAGACAAGCTCAAGGACGACAAGCCAAGAAGTATGTTCAAGGGAAGGAAGTCCAAAGAAGCTCTCAAGAATGTGCTGAATCAAGTATATGTAGCATTTGAGGATGTAGATCTTAAGTGATGAAGACAATAACAAGGAAAAGAGTATGATGGTATGTGCTTCATGGCTCATAGTGAATCCGATTTAGAGTAGGAATACAATGAGGTAAATCCCCCAAGAGAATTTCTTGAAGAAATTATTTTAACTTTTAGCTCCAAAATCAAAAGATGTGAGAAGATGATTAAAAAACATGAGTTTACTATTGAATCTCTTAGTTTTAAAATTGCTAAATTAAAATCTCTTATTCCTAACGTTGATGATTGTAATAATTATGAGAATTTAATGATTGAGATTTCAAAAATTAGAGTTGATAATGTTACACATGATTTGAGATTAAAATCTTGTCTTGCTCTTGAATTGCCATGCACACACGCGCTTTCAAATTGTCTTTAATGCTAATTCGATGTTTAACATGATTTGTGCCAAAAGTTAAAACAACAAAATGGTATTTTGAATTGCTTAACATGCTCATTGAACAACATGAAGATAAAAGATGTCTTAGTTCGTGTTGAGTACATGAAAACATTGTGAAATCTGATGAAGTGTTTTCTTGCTCTAGATGGCGCAAAAACAAAGGTGTTTTGATTGATTGTGAAAATTGTACAAATTTGACAAAAGAAGTTTTATATTTGAAAAGTTCTCTGGAAAGATTTTCTGATGAGAAAAACAAACTGAACATGATTTTTGATCAATCTAAAGTGACTAGTTACAATAAAGGTATAGGTTTTGATGCTCATGATTATTTCACTAAACACCAACCTGTTGTTTTGAATAACTGATAAAGGTGAAATTTTGACGAAATCTAAACCTAAAAATATTTTTAAATCTGCTGGAAGTTTACCCTCTCTTTCTTTTGCACTAAAAAAACAAAACTTGATATTTCCAAACCATCTACTTCTCGTGAAAAGTATACTTGTTCGTTTTGTGAAAAAGATGGCCATTTCATTGGATTTTGTTTTAGATTTGCTGGAGAAATTGCTTTTGCAAATCAAAGTGGCAAAAATCTAGTTTTTACTCGAGGAGACTGGTTAGACCGTAGTGGATCCTGCCAACAGCTGTGCTTCGGTCAAACCGGCGGTAAAAAAGCGATAAGACCGACCTTAGCGATATTTTTCTAAAAAATCTCAAACTGTTTTCCCACGTGGTTAGCGCTTACTCTAAGTTCCCCCTTAATGGAGAAGGCAGCCAAGGAGTCAAAATAGCATTTTTAGTTAATAATAGAAATAAATCAATCCTCCAAATTAAGATGTAGCTCCAACATAAATTTATGAAGTAGGAAATGTAGCTATAAGATTGTAACAAGATTGAGAAGCCGAAATAGATGGTGTTGCTCTCTCCATTGCCTTGAATGTCCATTAGTATGATTTTTTTTCTTTTACATAGAAAATACACACGCACGCACATCATAAGTACAAACCTCTCTCATCACTACTGTTTGAAACTTCAAAAAAAAAACATTTCTTCATAGTCACGAGCTTTCCTTTGAAACCTTATTGAGGCAAAGATGAAACTTGCTAAAAACTTTTCAAAATTAGCGAAACTTCTTTGATACTTGCAGTCGCACGCACAAAACTTCTTTGAAACTTAACGCAACCCTGAGACTTTGATGAATACGAATCCTTTGGACCTCAATCCCTGCCATGCACATGGATGGACCAAAACTTTAACCAATGCAAGGCCTTAAGCCACACACTGTTGCAATGTCCTTCATGAGCTATATATAGGGCCTTGTGTCATTTGTTAGTCCTCGCTCCTCACCCATGACCATGAGAAGCAGAGGATCGTTCAAACAGATGTAGAGGCTATTTGGTTAGTTAAGGATATGCCAAAGCTGCTAAGTTGCCAAATTTGTGGCAAAAAATATTGAAGCCACACCATAACTTCCTTGCCATAATTTGTTGTCACTATGAGATAGGGCCAAGTTGAAGAAAACTTTGATATGACTAACTTATAGCTAGAAATAAACACTACACTATCTTGGTAAAACTCATGTGCCAAACTTGTGGCCAAATGAGGCAAACTTTGGCTAACCCCCGTAATTTCCTTGTGCAAGTCTCCATAAATCAATACCAACAGATTACTTTCATGATGGATTGAAGGCATAGGTATAGTAGTATATTGCTCTAGAAATAAATGCTGCTAGCTGTGTTCAACATATTTTGTTTCACAAAAAGAAACGAGTATATTATATCTGATCACGATCATCCTTACAACCTTTCTTTGAAAATGTCAAGACAACAGAAGTATATATTGATTACAATTACCAACCAAAAATAGGGCGCCTTTACAACACTGGATGCACTACATTACTAACACTAAATGATCCATTTGGTTCTAGATAAGTAAAAAAGAGAAACAAGGAATGAACAAGCCCTTCAATGGGCACCCACACACGTTTCACTACATAAATACTGTGCATCACCTTTCTACTCCATAGCAGATCCATTCCTGCCTGCCTTATTGAGACACAAGTTTGTACATGAACAGCAATGCCAACACCTTCTGTTCAGCTCACCCAATTAAATTTACCACCAAAGCAGTAATAAATAATGCTGGACAATCAAACGCAGTTTGGCTGTACTTGGTGGCCGAAGTTCACAAGGTTGCCGCAGCCTCCGGTTTGCCCAAATATTGCAGATATGAGGCTGAGCTACCACCATGGGACAAAAGCAAAACATCACCTTTCGTGTTTCTATCTACACAGAACCAAGTGTGTATTCCTTCAGCACACACCGATGGGGGAGTTCCCAACTCCCTAGTTGCAATCCAAACCACACTCTTCCAGAAGTGGACCATCATTCTTTGCTAAGAAAGGATCAATCCGGACCCAGAGGAGTGAGAAGATTGAAGCCAGAAGAATGGACCAGACAATAACAATTGTTGGCGTCCTGTTTTGCCTTCCAACCAAACCTTTGAGGAATGGGTAAAGATGGACGATCACCCAAAATGCAAAGAAGAGCTTCCCGAAGAGGGGTCCCCATGATTCATACCCGTTATTGATTGCATTCGAAACACCAGCAACAACCCCAATGAAGTTCAATAAGAGTAGAGTGGTTGGAGGTATCAGCAAGGTAGTCCATTTGAATGTATATAGCTCTGAGAACTCTTCATCGTCCCCACCTTTTGATGTCACAGTGAAACTCGTATCTATACCAGCTATGACCTTCAAAAGTCCCTGGAACAAAGCAAAGAGGTGCGAAGAGACCCCTCCAATGACCCAAAATTGTTCATTTCTCCACCAATCATCAATGCCAACACCACTCCATCTCATTTCCAGGATGCCAGTAGCAAAAATGCAGATAAAAAGTGACATGAACCAGAGACTGGCAACATTCGTAAGCTGCACAACAGAACAGGAAGGGAAATGTAAGGCTCAAATCACAGCAACTGCATACGGAACAGAACTGAAAGTTGAATAAGATTTACCTCTGGAGTGATAAACTTCCCAGTTAGCAAACAGATGGCTGGCAATGTACAGTAAGCCAAGAGTGGAATGGATGTAAAAGGATACACGATGGAATTAATGTAGGAAAATCTTTCCAAACATTTTAGTCCACCACCATATCCATACCAAAGAGGGCAATGGTTGCTGAAGAATATTTCAACAGACCCAAGAGCCCACCGAAGAACTTGGTGAAGACGATCAGAAAGATTGAGTGGTGCAGAACCTTTGAATGCAGGTAGTTTAGGTATGCAGTAAATTGACCGCCAACCATGGCAGTGCATCTTAAAACCAGTTAGAATATCTTCTGTAACTGATCCGTAGATCCAGCCAATCTGCAACAAAGATATAATTAACTAGTTAAGAAATGTTTCAATCAATTAACCAGTTAACAGCAATCAGGCTCCAGTCCTTACCTCTTTCCCCCAGTCTGTCTTATCTTCGTACCCACAGCTTATGACATGAATTGCTTCCTTTAGAAGAGATGCTGGACTCGCACTTTTCAAGGTTCCACCATTCTCAAGAAGTGTGGATGCGACAAAAACAGAAGATTGGCCAAATTTCTTTTCCAGCTTCTGTTGATTTACAATACCAGCCTTTTCATTTTCAGCTCCTGCCAAAAATATTGAAGGATTAAATATGCTATTACTACAAAGGTGTTTCAGGAAAAACCACCCACAATGTTTAGTTCAGAAGTTCACGTACCTGGAGCACCCTCCTCAATTTCACCAAGTGCATATGCAGGGGATTGATTTTCTGCTCTCTTGAAGAAAGATCTTTTCTTCTTCTCTGTTTTAGGTTTCGTAGTTTTCTTCTTGCTCTTCCTGTCACCAAAGCAGCAACAGCAAATGCACCATTTAGGCCAGCAGTTGCAGGTCCTCGACGGAGGCTTCTTCGTTTTGGGGGCATCATAACCATACAATGCCTGCCTTCTAAAGACACATCCAGTACCAACATAGATGGGGCCTTGGATACCATCCAAGCCTTTCATGTTGATCTGTAACAAGCAAATGTTAGATAAACTGCAAGAAAATTAAATAACTTGTGTAGGAGAGTATCTCAGAAATATGGGGCAAATCTTACATCGAAGAAGACCACGTTCCTGTTGGCGTATCGATCATGACGATCAATCCCATCAAACCTTTGAGGGAATTGCACATAACAAACCTTCTTTCCAACCAAAGGGTCCATCATAAAACACATTGCTTCCTTTATAGCCTTGCTATTGTTGATGTAATGATCACAATCCAAGTTGAGCATGTATGGAGCATTAGTTAGTACAGCAGATACTCGGACCTGTGAATCAACAAAGCAAAAAAATTAAACATACACTATATTTTGTTAATACAGGAGTACAGGTTATGGAAAGCCAAAAAAACATCAAAGAAATTATCTTTTACCAATGCGTTCATGGCACCAGCCTTCTTGTGATGGTTATAGCCTGGCCTTTTTTCTCTTGAAACATACACCAATCGAGGTAGCTCATTACCTTCGATGTCATGGCCGCCACTTTGGCCAAGGAAGACCTATTCATTGAGAAAGTTTTAACTTCTTTATCATCATAATTCAAGAATAGGAAAGAGGGGATCCATCAAAATGCCAGCATATATACTGTGCACCATCACAAATCACCCGAACATACCTGAATCATTCCAGGGTGATCGCGAACATTGTTTCCAGGCCAGGGAGTTCCATCTTGCATTGTCCAACCTTCCTCGGGAACTTTCTGAGCTTTAGCAACCAATGCATTGATTCTCACCTTGAATTCCTCATACTCTCTCTGAAAAGACAAGCTTGGCCTAATTAATGTTACTATAAAATCAAAACAAATAGCAATTTTTTTAAGACCCAATTATTCACCTTCATTGCTCTCCTCTCCCTAACAAAGTATGGTGCCACCTTATCCTTCAGGTAGTCTATCTTCTGTTGGAAGTACCACTCTGGAGCACGTGGTTCAATACTGTACTTTTTGCAGAAAGGAACCCATTTCTTTGCAAATTCAGATGTTTCGGATAATGCTTCAAATGTCAGCATTGCAGCACCATCATCAGAGACATAGCATGAAACCTTATCAACTGGATAATCTACCGCGAGGATAGATAGAACAGTGTTTGCTGTGACCAAAGGAGGTTCCTTCAAGGGATCAACAGTACTGACAAAGAAATCGATTGGTGCAAGTTGAGATGTTTGGCCTTCCTTGTCAAACCTATAAAAGCAAACAATTAGTCTTGGTAATTCAGAATGATGGATAACAAGTATACCTAGCTAGTAACAGTAACCAACCTCAATGTCAATCGATCAAGGTAAGTCTCTCTCTCGATAGGAAACCACTTGGGGAATTGATCAAGAATCCAAGACATGGCAAACCAGATTTCACAAATTACAGATATCAGCCATAAGGCAAAAGCATCAGGCACTGGATGCATCACTCGATAGTGGAAGAAAAACCCCAAAACCACCAGCCGAATTATGATAACCATTCTATAGGGGTTAATCTGACTTGAAGGAATTGGGACTTTTCTGGACAATGGCTGCCTAGCTTCATCCATTCTGGTAAAAATCAGTTAACAATTGGTAATTCGGATCAGTACCAAACGAAAAATTCTTGAACTAAAAAATACAAATAAACGAATACATTTCGGTTATTCTTAGAAAATATTTAAAAAATTGGCATTCATGCAATCACATACTTTGTCCAGCCAAAGTGATAAAGCAATTCTACAGGGGAGAAAATCCTATGTATGAATTGGACAGTTTTATCAATACATATTATTTTGTCTTACTTATATTATCTGTAGATAGTATATCCTATCACTAGAATGGAGCACTCGAGTTTGACTTAACATATGGAATGAAATAGAATATCAGAGAGAAGCCAAAAAAGTTTCCAAAGTCATACAGTGGTAGATCTCCATCATCACCATCGCCATCCCAGTCTTTACCACCACCATCATTTCTCATCTGGTGCAGCCTCTCCTGCTTCTGCTTCCAGCTCTCCATCCTCTCCTTCCACGCAACACTACCATAACCGTATGCAGCAAGATCCTTGGATGGGTCCATAGATCTTGGTTGAACTGTAGCACAACTACCTTTAGCTGATTCTATTCATAAAACATCACAAGTAAAAAAATAGCTGATCATAACTCAAGTGCGCACCAGGTAGATTGGGATCCGCATAAGGAAGCGGGTGGATCCTCTTTCCCCCGCCGCCCATAAAAGATGGCACAAGCGCATGCTGCTCCGGCGGGATGTCATCAACCTGAAAGCACATTGAAACAACCAATTGAGTACTCGGCTACGAAGAGCCAAGAGTAGCAGGCTATTCCGCTGCGCAAAATTTTTGACAGTACCATCTGCCCATCGGTAAGGAGGGGAACATTGGGGTTGGGCTGGAATGGCTGCGGAACACCGTTGACGTCGACCCCACCACGGCCATAGCTCATATGGGCGTGGAGCATCGACTCCGCGACGTACTGCGAGTCATTCCTGTCCCTCCAGTTGAACTCGTTCTCCAGGTCATCCACACCGTCCTCCTCCTCGTCCCCGGGCACACGAGCGCAACCTGCAATATCGATCAGGGGCGAATCGAGTGAGCAATTGGGGGAACTAGGCGGGGGGGGGAGGGGGGGGGCAAATTGCCACCAATTCGGCATTGCGGGTGTGACTTGCCCCTGAGGCGCTTGAAGCGGGTCTTGCACTGGGGGCAGTTCTGCGTGCCCTCGCGGCGCTCGTACTCGTAGCAGTCGCGGCACACCGGGAAGGCGCACTCGTTGCACGCCACGAACGGCTCGCCGTCGGGGTTGAGCCCCACGTCGTCGCCGCAAATCTGGCACACCTGCCCGTTCTGCTGCCGGAGCGGCTTCGGCTGCGCGGCGGCCACGAACAAAAAAAAAAACGAAATCAGACCCAAAAAAAATTAAAAAAAAAAAGAAGAAAAAATCAGCGGCACCGCTCACACGTACCCCGGGATCGCCGTCGCGGCGGATGACGACGAGCTCGTTGCGGTTGTGGGAGCCGGCGACCAGACCGGCGCTCGCCTCCATCGCCCCTCCTCCTCCTCCCCCCCGCTAATCAACCACGCACACCCTCACCCTCGCCCTCTTCCTCCTACGCCGCCCGCCGACCGCTCCTCGCCCTACAACCAGATCTCCATCTCTCTCTCTCCCTCCGAATCTCCCGGGGATTCCGCGCCCTGGCAAATGCGCCTCCCCCGCGACGGAGCAGAGGAAGAGCGGGAGAGAGAGAGAGAGAGAGAGAGAGGCCGGGCCGGGGATGCGTGTGCGCGGCGGCAGCGTCGGTGAGGGGGGAGGTGGCGAGGATTAGTGATGGAATTTTAAAGAAAAAAATGGGGGAGAGGAAGAGACGGGGGAGTGTCGGTGCGGGGAAGAAGGAAAAAGAAAGGAAAGGAGCGCACCAACTAACGCTCTCCCAAAAAAAATACTAAACGAAATCGAAATGATTTGGGGATCAGATTAACTTGATTTCTTTTTTCTTCAGGGTTGGAATAATAATAGTAATATAAATTGATGGATTAAGGATGGATATGTCACGGACCATTATTCGCGGAATCGTAGCAGAGGCTGCACAGTCGACATGTGTACTGCGTTGTTTTTTCTTTGCAAAATAAAAGAAAAAGTGGGTGTCCCACTGGTAATAAGCCACTAAATTAATAAAAAGATGGTAAACGTTATTGAGCGTTGTTTGTACTCGTTACAAATGTTAACGGGTGTTTTTTAAATATGTATACAACCGTTATGGTAGTATATCCACTAAAACGGTTATTGGTATATAAAGAAATGTTATCGGTGCAATAATATAACTATATATTCCTGATATAAGTATTTCACGCTATAACATTTACTTATAAGTTAGATCACCCCTTTTATTCTGGGGTGACGGAGGATCGTACCATTCGAGTTTTTCATGAATTATAGTATCGAGTTTCCTTCGATATATTACATGTTTATCGTATTATTTAACTACGAGTTAGCTATTTTTTTTCTATATGACTATATTATCGTAGCTATAAAGTCATTTATCCGAATGAAAACCTTAAGAGCTCTTTTGGATTGAACTAAAATTATAGGCTTTCTAGAGGATTCGAATCCTTTGTAACTCTTCATATTGTAAATTTCTTCACATTGTTTTCCAATATGGCAATTTTTCATGAATTTAGCACATGAGATTCAACATCATTTCAACTTCAAATGAAACTACACAACGTGGTATTTTCCGATGAAACCCAAATACACATATGGTCAAAAGAAAACATATGTCTCTCCATTTTAATTTGTAGCTATATTAACATATGTCTTAAAAAAATCTATGAATGAATTGGTATAGTCTATTCATATTGCATTGTATATGAATTGTGTATTTCCAATTTTTAGGCACTACGCACTTCAACTAGCATAATGTGATCCCAATTTTACAATAATTACTAATTAGACTTAATTATAATCATTAATCTCTAATTATGGACAAGAATTGGAGGTGGGGCTTGCGCACCAACAAGCCCCAACAGTGCATCCGCCGCTGCCTTCCTCTTTGTGACACGTTCCTTCTATCTCGCAGGCAGGGTTTAAAAAACTATGCGATTATCGTATAGTTATCACGTGCGGTAACCTTCTTAGTTTTTGAAATCACGGTATACCTCGCGGTAACCGTTAAACCGTGGGGTGACGGTAACCCCACCTAAAACGGTTTGGTGAACCCTGCTTGTAGGCCTCCAACACCCTCTTTCTCTTTGGTAAATGGATATAAACGTACTTCTCTTCCTCCCTTTCCCCTGTGACCCGCTTGTCACCTCACTCTGATGGCACTCAGGGCAAAGCGGTGCTTGACCAATCCCCTTCTCTTATTCCCTCCCCCAACAGCCGTTCTAATGTCTCTCATATCGGTGGTATGCCATTCCCTCTACATCGGTTGTGGTGGACTAGGGAAGGGCTCTCGTCCTCTTTCTCACCAACCCTATGATGCTTTGGCTATCAATTAGAAAGATGAGTTACGGTGGCGGTAATGCCATTTATGGAGGTACTGGATGATAGTTTTAGATATCATGAAGGGCACCACGATACTTAGTATGATAGTACCTTCAGGTATCATCCACATATCAGCTATCATGAAGAGGTAACTTAAAATATATCATGAGGGTATTGTCTATGAGAGGTGTCAAGTATCATGGTATCGTTAGATATCATGGAGGTATTATAGATACTACATACATAACAGGGGTATCATTCTAACATGGTTGTTGTACTATACTACCTCCATCCCAAAATGTTTGACGCCGTTGACTTTTTTAAAAATGTTTGACCGTTCGTCTTATTCAAAAAATTTAAGTAATTGTTAATTCTTTTTCTATCATTTGATTTATTGTTAAATATACTTTTATGTATACATATAGTTTTACACATATCACAAAAGTTTTTGAATAAAAAGAACGGTCAAATATGTTTAAAAAAGTCAACGGTATCAAACATTTAGGGAAGGAGGGAGTATTATGTAAAACCTAATTCAATATTTTACGTAGATGTTAAAAAATCTTGTACTAAAGTTGAATGAGAATTAGCACTAAATCCTTAAATTTTATTTCCCTATGCGAACACTATAGAAGAATCTACTCTATGCCATATACTAGCTCAATGATTTATTATCGACTATATATGTCTCTTTCTATAATATGCCACTAAGTGTATTAATTTTTCTACAATATGTCATTTGGTCAAATACTTTTTTTTTGAAAATGTGTAAGATATCGTTAGATACATATAAGACTTAAAAGTTGATTGACCCCATTAGAAGATTCAAATAGTTATGAAAATTTTGTCTAGCCTCCTATAACATTACAGAAGTTCGTGCAAAAGTTTTAAGAGTTCTTTATTTTTGCTAATTCATTATAAAATTTACTTGTTTCATGCTACGTAAAATACTTTTGTGTTGTTGTTTATTATTTAAAAAACGATCCTAGTACAAAATATTTTTTGTTATATTTTGTATAAGTGATTTCTATGTCATGCCACACAAAAAATAACCTTTCAAAAAAATCTATTGAAAAAATCTTGAAATATTTTCGACTAAAAATCATTTTTTCCTAATTTTTAATGGGATAAATCAATTATCAATCTTGTATGACTGTAGGGTATTTTGGTTATTTTGAAGAAATTCTCTCCAGTAGTATATTATAAAAGTAATTGATAAACCCAATGACATGTCGCATAAATGAATTATGTCAATGGCAAACGGAAATGGAGCTAACTCAATTGTATAGAATATAATCTCTCCAACATTGTAAGCGACATGGCCTATTACAAGGTGAGGCCTCATACGGACTTAAAATATTATCTACCATGAGATTTTAACCTTTCCCGTAAAATTTATATAAAACTCAAACCTCAAGGAGGTTTACTTTTTTCCTTTTCAATTAAAACCCACCACTCACCAATCTATTGAAAATCGATAAAAAAAGACAAGTTCGGTTAAGATCGTACGAAACTAGCTAAAACCGATCGATTTTTACGAACCGACTACCAACAGTTTCACGAAAGCTGATCGGTTTCATTAACCCGCTATATAGGATCTAGAAGCAATTGCAGAGCTAAGCAAACACGTGTGCTACACAAGCCTCCCATCCCAACTTTGGAATGGCAGACAATAACCGGCACATACCAATGGCATGATTGCAAAATGGCAAAAAGAAAAGGCAGTGCTAATTAAGCGCTTCTGCTTCACCGGGAAGAAAGCTATCATGCAAGGGCAGCTGCTCGACGATCTCGGCTACTTAGGCAATCATACAAGATTACTCAATCAATTATTAATTAATTAACTAATGAACAATCTCTACTTAGATTTCGAGTGCAGTTTTTCTGGTAACAAAGCTAGCTTTTCTAGGACTGATTAGTTGGCGAGGGAAACAAGTGACATGCGAGAAAAACATGATGGCGACGACGACGACGACGGGGGAGTGAGAGGAACGCACTAACCAACGATGGCTGCGACGGCACAAGGCCGAGACGAGAGGGGAGAGCGGTAGGTGAGGTGTCCGTTTTATTCTCTAGCTGCACACGTCGTCACGGCTCATTAGCGGCGCCCAGCCCATTAGATTAGAGTAGAGGACAATCTTTTTTTGCGGGGAATTAGAGGACAGCTTTTTAGTTAACTAGAAAGCCAACGCAGATACGCGGGTAATTTATTTATTTGTTATAAAAAAAAGTCATATCTCACTATATCCATTATAAGAATCCTATATTAACATATGAGTGCATACGTACATCGGGATAGATTAGCTGATTTTTAGAAGCAAGGGATTAGAGTATGTCTAATCTAATGGTTGAAAATGGATTGATCGGTTTAAGTGTAAATTGATGACAAGATGTTTTGCCTTTTTCTTATATTTAGCGTCACATAGCATCTTAGGCTGTGTTCGGCAGTGGCTGTTCCCATCCTCTCCTCCTTATTTTCCACGCGTACGCTTTTCAAACTACTAAACAGTGTTTTTTTGTAAAAAGTTTCTATATGAAAGTTGCTTAAAAATCATATTAATCTATTTTTAGAAAAAAATAGCTAATACTTAATTAATCATGCACTAAATGCTGCTCCGTTTTGCGTACACCCTCACTCCCGAACGCAGCCTTAGAAGTATTTGTAGAAGTATAGGAATGTTATTACTCATACTCACAATCTATTTGTAGTCAACTATTATTTGATGTGGCTTGGTGGCACTCTCTATTTAACTATCATTTGTTCATACATGCCATTAGGCTGAGTTTGGAACTGAGAGTTCCCAACTCTCCTCACTCATTTTCCGCACACACGTTTCTTAAACGGCTAAACATTGTGTTTGCAAAAAAAATTTCTATAGGAAAGTTGCTTTAAAAAATCATATTGATCCATTTTTTAAGTTTTTTAGGCTAATACTTAATTAATCATGCGCTAATAAACTGCTCCGTTTTTTGTGCCAGCGGGAAACGTTCCCAACTCTAACTAATGAAAAGCAGCATTAGTATCGTCCTTTATCCTCTGTGCTTCATGACAAACGTGTTCATTGGATGTCAGCTAATTATTAGACGCACTGTGCATGGATACCATGTAAGCAACATGACTTGGCAATTGGTAGATAGTGGTATGTATATAGAACTTATATACATAGGGATAAATTAGTGGGGACATAATTGAAAAAATATATATTGTATGCTACATATTAGTTTTAGTACATACGTAATATATTTATAGTTATGTTTTAAAACGCTTATATGATTGGCTACTCACTTAGTTATCGTGACTACGTTTACCGAATTGCTAAATGGTGTGTATTTGTAAAATATTTTCTATACAATTTTTTTTCAAAATCAAATAAATTCACTTTTGATTTTATAATAT